AGGAGAGATGAGTAGGCAAATAGGGTGAGGAAGAAGACTTAAAAAAAAGAAGAAGAAGAAGAAGAGAAAGTACAGGAACTGTAGGGAGGAGAGAAACAATAAAACTTGGAGAGTCTGAGAAAGAGATAGGGAGAGGAAAGAAGAGGGAGGATGATGAGCTGCACAGCAGCCTAAGAGAGGTAAGAGGGGCAGAAGTGAGAAAGAAACGCATGAGGGAGAAGCACACAGGGAAAGAGATAGACTCAGAGACAACAGGAGAGAGAGAGAAAAAGAGTCAGGAGGAAAGAACTGAGGCAGAGAGGAAGAATAAATGTGCCTGGAGTGGCAGAGGCAGCTAGCTCCCCCTAACACAGGCATATCTAGCAGGAGACGCTCAGGGATGGTTGTGGGGGTAAAAAGATCCCAGGGGATGCAAGCCCCCAGGCATGGGTAGGGATGGGAGCAGAAAGGCCAGGCAGGGAAAAACAGAAGTGAGAAGAGAGGGCTCAGGGTCGAAAAGCAGAACCACCCAGCAATCAGGGAGCAGAGGCGGCTAGGGAGTAGGTAGAGGGGCTGGGTACCCAGAGTGGGTCTGAAGGAGGGAAGGCAAAAAGTAAGAGATAGAAAACAGCCTCCAAACCTCAAGTCCTGAGCTCAGAGCTGGAGAGAGAAAGGAGGCAAAGAACAGAAGGAGAAGTGGAAAGATGGCTAGGATGGCCTGGGCACCTCTGACAGAGACCACTAACAGAGACCCAACAATACAGGCTTAGGCTAATAGCAAAGAAGAGAGAAGTTGGGCAGAGTCAGATAGAGGCCCAAGAGACACAAGAAGTGGAAACAAAAACAGAAAGACATTTCCAAGACATATGAGGTGGGATAGGCAGATAAGATGGGGACAGGGCGTATGGTAGGCACAGGGGTGGGTGGGGAGGGCACTGAAACAGAGTGAGAGTAGGAGCTGGTCTGGGACGGGACCAAAGATCAGTGAAGGGGGTGGGGGCAGGGACCTGCCAGAAACCCCAGAGAAGTGAGACACCACAAGTAAGAGCTGGCCAACCCCACAGGACCTCAGGAAGCCGGGGACTGGGGCAGGTGTGAACTGTGTACCCAGAAGGAGGGGTGAGAAAAGGTCATGGTGAAGGGAGGTTAGGGAGATGGAGGGCATGAAGCAGGCCCCTAGTGAGGGAGGGTCCTTGCTGTCTGGAGAACAGGGAATGTGAGGACCCTATTAGGTGGGCAGTGAGCCCAGCCTTCCAGGACCCAGGACCCAGCCCAATCCCCGCCCTGCAGAGACACTCACGGATCCTGGTGGGACGGAGGGCTGGGCTCCCTCGAGGCCCGAGGAACGACAGAGGAGCGACAATCGAGAGATGGTCTGGTGCTGGGTGGTGGTGTGGCTGGGGCAGGGGGAGAGGGCAGTTCACAGGGCCCCCTCCCCCGCCGCCGGCTGTGGACCCCAACTAATCCAAACTGGTGGCTCCCAAGAAAGGGGAGGAAGGACAGGTGGAAAAGGAGAGGGCGGGCCAGGAGGGGAGGAAGGGGAAAGGAGAAAATGGAGGAGAGAAGGGGAGAGAGGAGAGGGGGAAGGAGCAAATGGAGGGGAAGGAGGGAGGAAAGGAAGAGAGGAAGGTGAAAACGGAAGGGAGGGGGACACAGGCAAAGCCGGGGGAGGGGGAAGCCGGCCCGGGAAAGGGCCCCCGCCCCCTCCCCTAGCCTGGCCGGCCTGGGGGGGCCACAGGGGGTGGCGAGGACTGGGTGGAGAAAAGGAAGCTGGCCATCGGGAGAAGTGGGGGAGGGGAGGGCTTGATGGGGGGGAGGGGGTCGCCCCCGTCCCCCCCTCCCCCCAGAGCCTTGGCCCTGCCCTGGATGAGGCTGGGGCCTGAAGTCCTCAAGCCCTCAGCCCCAGTGGGAAAAACATGCTGGGGACCTGGAAAGGCAGGCAGTAGAGGGGCTGGGGAGGATGGGATGCTGGCGGCGGAGAGCGAGCAGGGGGCAGATGAGGTGGAGAGATGGGGAAGAGGAGAGGAGGAGAGAGGAGAGGATGGAGAGGAGGATGAAGAGGAGCAGGGAGGGAGAACGGAGAGGAGCAGGTGGAAGAGGAAGGCGGAGGTGGGGTGTCCCGGGGGCGGCCCTCCCAGGGCCTCGGTGGGAGGGCCTGGCCACGGACTCCTGGTCCCCTGTGAGAAGCAGCAGCCTCCGGCTCTGTGTCCCCAGCTGGGCCTGCCTCCCTGCTGCTGGCCGCCGCCACCGCTCCTTCTCCCCTCTGAGGCCGCCGCCTGCCTGCCCGCCCGCCGCCCGCGCTGGGTCCTGGAGTGCTGGGGGGGGGGGGGGGTTGGGGGAAGGAGGGAGGCAGGGAGGAGGGCAGGCAGGAGGAAGGGAGGGAGGAGGCAGAGAGCAAGGAGGGAGGGAGGGGAATCGGGGGAGGGGGAGCTCGCATTGGTTGGGCTGGGGGGCCCCCGCGAGGAGAATGCTGATGAGAGGAAGGAGCTGCATTGGATGGAGGGCCCACCCCCAGGCCACCCCCTCTACCACACCATGCCACCGCCCTGCCCAGGCAGCCCTAGGTACGGGAGCCCACAGAGAAGAGAGGTAGCAGGGAGACTTGGGGAGAAGGCCATGGAGATGGAGAGAGGGCTACAGAGATGAAGGAAAATGCAGAAAAAGAGAAAGGCAGCCATCAATATCCAGAGAGATGGGCCCATAGGACAAGAAACAGAAAACTCCTCAGTCCATGGAAAGGGAATAAGGAAGCAGACCACAGGAACAGGAGAGGGACAAGAATGTGGGAGGAGGGCACGATAATGGGGGGGGGGGTGACACAGAAACCAGAGGTCCCAAAAGAGACAAGGATTTGGCTCATAGATGCAAAAGGCCCACTGAGGCAAGAGCGGCCAGTCATGGAGAAAGAGCCCCCATGAAGGGAAGAAATGGGTTCGGGTGTGGGAATTCTTGATAACACATACAGAAGTCTTTGGGATCCATAAAGATGAGTGGGTAGGAAGAAGAGGGCTTCATTCTCCAGTCACCAGAGCAAAGAAGCTCTGGGAAAGGGGCACAACACAAGAGCAGGGAGTGGAGGGCACAGCCAGAGCTGGGAGACTCCCTCCCTCCCAGGGAGCCTCTGCTGCCTCTCAAAGGAGCCTAGCTGGGGAGGGGGATGGAAGAGAGAATCTCCACAGATCTTGGAGTGGGGGTGGGTGGTGCACGGGCTGGGTGGGGGGTGAAATTTTGGGGGAAGGAACATGACAGTTGGCGCTGAAGGCTGAGCCCGTGACTCACTACCACCCCCATGCTCGTGATGGGAGGAGACAGTGACACGCTCACGTGCGGCCCTCAGCATGTGACCGCTTGCCTCGCACACACAACTGGGCACGTGGCAACTCTCAGACCACACACAGGCCTGGCATGGGGAGCGCTCTGCAGCTGCCATGTGTGGCATCCCTGACATACATGTGACATTGGACTAACAACTCTGCACACACCTCCTCACCCAACTTGGGCAGCACCTATGACTTTGCTAACCCACTCTTAGCCAGGTCTGAGGCCCAGACTCATACCTGCCTCTTGGCTTTGCTTATGCAGCAATATCAACAAAGAATACCTATTCTCTCTAAACACTGTTCTTGAAGTCCGGGTCTGGTGCTGCCACTTCCAGAATGTCTAACCAGACCTCTTTTTACTCCTATATAGTCCAAAAGGTCCTAACCAACACAAGAAAGTTAAAAAAAAAAATCCAAGAAGGTTCTAGCAGAAAGGGGCCTGAGAAACTACGCTGGACCCTCAGACTTTCAAGTGTAAAGGAGGTCTCTGTAGGAGCAAAAACCTGTCCAAGGGCAGACAGCCTATCAAAGGCTGAGCCTAACTTCTACTTCTCAGGCTCCCACCCTAGATGACTTCACCCTAAGGGCAAATCCAGCCTGACTTAAGAACCTTTGCAGGCCTTAACTTTAGAGCACGCTAATTTCCCCGTCAACTTCTTTGTTCTACTTCTTAGTCCAGCCATTCAACATGCAATCACAAACCATTCAGCCTGCCGTGCAGTAGCACCTGGGGACCAAGATTGTTCCCCAATTGTCTTATAAATGCTTGTCCCTCTATATATTGTATTTTCTATAAATAGGTGATTAGATCTAGAAGCTTGACCAATTCTAGTATTATGTTTATTATTATTAAAGACTATTTCATTAAAAAAAAAGATTGTAAACTTTGGGTGGGATCAACTCCTGGCTTAGAATCCTGGCTGTCTATTCCTAATTATGGGAACTTGGACAAGTTACTTAACTTCTCTGGGCCTCAGTTTCTTTGAGGATAACTCAGGATAATAGTTTTTCCCTCTGAGGATTGTTCAGAGGATTAAACTAAATAATGCATGGAAAGCACTGAGTATAATTCCTAGCACATTCTAACATAGGAAATGTTGGCTATTATTATTAAGCTCCTTGAGACACTAATAAAAACTAACTCCTATGTAGATTTTACTCCATGCCTCACAACAACTCTCTGAGACAGAAGCTGTTCTTAGCCCCATTTCACAGATGAAGAAACTGAGACACAAGGGAGTTCACAGCAAGGAAGTGGCTGGGCCAGGATGTCAGTCCAAACATCCTGGTTTAACCACGTGGGCCTGGTGTTAGGGAGATTAGTGGAAAGTTAGGGCACCCAGTTAAGAGACTGATAAAGGCAAAGCAAAGGTAGTGACTGAAGAATGAGACCTAGATTTTCTGGTGTTCAATCCCCTACTAGCTTTTTGGCCTCAGATGGGGGAAAAGACCCAAGTCTGAGTTTATTCTCTGAGAAATGGGAAAGGGTAGGGAGGAGAGGTTTGACCAACTCTATCTTCCAGTTCCCCCACCTCAGATTCAGAGGGCCCTCTGATTTTTTGTTGTTGTTGTTCAGTGCTGGGGATTGAACCCAGGGCTTTGGTCATGCAAGACAAACACTGTACCACTGAGCTGCATCCCCAACACCTAAAAACATTTTTTTTTTTTTTTTATAACAGTGCTGAAGCAACTTGCTCTCAAGACCTGGAAGGCCAGAAGGGAAGGTGAGCAGAGATGGGCAGAATCCCTCAGACACATAGGGATCCGTCCTCCCTGAGTCCGTGCGCTATCGGATCATCTCCTCCAGGCTCACGCCGGAATTGTGCTCAGGTACTCTACCCTCCACACTCCATTTCTCCAAATGTAAATTCCTGACCCTTTTCTTTTTCTCCATTTCCCATTTCCTTCTGGAGCCTTTGTTTTCCTTTTACCCTAAGCTACCCACCCTCCATTCCTTTCTAACATTTCGTGTTCGTCTCTATCCCGTCTCTTAGCTTCCCCGCCCTTCCTTCCTGCCTTCACTCCCTGTTTAATAAAATAGAGCCTGGTGCCTTGGTTTCAATTTTTAAACCCCCTCCATATGATGGACGCTCTAATTTCCCCTCTTCCCTCCCGCTGACTGGCATTTGACTTTCTTCCTTTGGTCCTCGAGGGTTTCTAAGCCTCAATTCCCCTGCCTCCGCCTTCCGGGGGGATCTTATGCCTCAATTGCCCAGATTTTCTCCTCAATCCCAACGCTGACTCCCGCCCAGTGCAGCCAAGATGGCGCCCGCGGCCTTGCGCCCCTCCTGACGTCATCGCGCTGCCCTCGGCTCAGCGTTCTCCTTTGGAGCCGTCAGAGGCGGAGCCGAAAAGGAGGTGGAGGAGGAGCAACCTCCTGGAGGCCTAAGGGGGCGGTCACTACAAACCCGGCCATGGGGAGGGGTGTTGAGGGAACGTAGCGAGAGGATTGGTTGGGACCTACGGGGCATCCAGATCCTCCTCGTTATTGGCCCGAGCCTCAGAGACGAGAGCGTCGATTGGCAGAAAGGCCGGAGCCAGGCAGGCGATAATTGGTCGCGTGGTGCCGTCTGTGCGGCGACCGTGGAGGAAGGTAGGAGGGGCGTTGCTGAGGGTGGCTTGGGGCGAGAGTGAGGCGCAGGAGCAGGCGAGAGGCGACGGCGGGAGCTAGAGAGGGCGCCGCGCTAGGGTAGCTGTGGAAGAAGAGCCGCTGCCCCGTCCCTGGGCGTACGAGACGGCAGAGGTGGGTGAGTGCCAGCGGGCGCGCGGAGGGCCGGCCTGGCCCCCACCCCTCCCCCGCGGCCTGTTCTCGTCATGGCTTGCGCAGGGAGGGCCCGAAGGGGCGCGCGCAGGGCGGTGAGGGCGGAATGGCACCAACGGCCGCGGGGCACGCGGGCGGCTAGGATGAGTCGGGACAGGGTGGCGGGTGGGGAAGGGGACTAGAGTCGTGTGCAGGCTGAGTGAGGAGGGGCGGGGCTTGACTGAGGGTTCGGGCCGGTGGGGACTTGGGAGGGAAGACGCGGCCTTAGTGCTGACGCCGAGGAGGGCTCCTAGGCTCCACGGGGTATCGGGGAAAAGGACTTGGGTCGTGGGACGAGTACTGGACCCAAGTGGGGGCGGTTAGAGGGCTTTTTGGTGCCCGGGGTAGGGGGGTTAGAGCATGAGGAAAGAGGTGATTAAGTTAACCCTGGGGGCAAAATCTAGTTACGTCTGGAAAGCATTAGGGCAGTGAAAGGGATCTTGGTGTAAAAAGGTATTAGGAAAAGAATATTCTTCTTTTAAGGGGAATTTAGACTTGAGGAAGAGATCCAGATGTGAAGAATGGGATTAAATTAATGTGAAGAGTCGTTCAGCCAATGTGGTGGGACATTATGTGGGGGATGGTACCCTTGGAAAGGGTTGAGAGGGGCCTTTGTACAAAGGGTATGTTCATATGAAAGTGTCTGGGTGTCCCTAGAATGCACTGAAGGGAGGTAGTTTTTGTTCGCTCATTTGCTTTTAGTATGGGTAACTAGGCCAAGGTGAAGATGTGTTTTGGGTAACCCTGGGGGGTGATGTGATGAGAGAGATCTGTGTGCTAAAGAGAGGGTGGTTTGGATATCCTTGTGATGAGAAAGATGCTACATTGATAATTAGAAATCTAGGTATCTCCATAGTAGTAACCTGGTGAGAAGGATTTGGATGTGAAGGGGTTTGTCTTCCAGGTTAGAGTGGTTATGGGGGGGTCTGCATATCCCTGAAGAGGATTTGTCTGTGGAAGGGCTGTGTGGGAAAGGAGTTTGAGCCATTAGGAAGGGTAGTCTGAATATTTCTGGATTGAGTTACAGAGTTGGGGAATCTTTTTACAAAGAAGAAAAGTTGATGTGAAGTAGGTGTTTGGGAATTCCTGGAATAGGTTAAGGTTGACCTGGGCATTTATGCAAAGAAGAGGGACTTAGGTTCATATGAAGGAATATGGGCACCAAGGATGAATTTGGGTAGCTGTGTATGAAGAAGAGGGGTTTAAATCAATGTGAAGAGGGGATCTGGGTTCGGAGAGGGTCTTAGAATTGTAGACTTGTTACAGAGAAGAGGTAATTTTTTTTTTTTTTTTTTTGAGGGTCTGGCTGTTCTGGATAAGGGGTTAGGTGTGGGAGAGGACCTTGATTTGTTGAAGAAGTTTTCAGTTCAAGCAGAGGGGTCTGGGCATTGTGAGGAAGTGGTTAAGGTAGAAAAAGTCTGGATGTGGAGATGGGTTAGGCTGATGTGAGAACATTTGATTGGGAAAAGGGATAGTTTGATGTGAGAAATCTGGCACCAGAGGGAGAGTTGGTGCTTAACAGGGGTGTGTGTAAAAGAGAGGTGTTATATCATGTAAGGGTGCCAAAAGTGGAGTGGCAGGTCACTGGGGAAGTTTGAGTGGTCTGAGAACCTGGGAGATAGAACAGAGTCCAATGAAGAGTGTAGCCAGGAGAAACAGGTACTGAAGGCCTATGTGAAGATTCTCCTGAGTACCTTAGCAAGGGTAGTGTGAGTTGTAAGGGATCAGTGGAAGGAGATCTAAGTGGAGACAGGTTCTTGTGTGATGGGTTGGGCCATGGGTTCTGCTATGAGGAATGGGAGATGGAGGGATTAGACAGGTTATAGGGATTTGGTGGGTGAATTTTTATGTGATTCAGTTGAGAGATGAGACTTGGGGTGGACCCTGGGAAGGGACTGCTGGGAAGGTTTTACACTTGGTGTTTTCATTTTGTGTGTTCAGGAAAGGAAGCATTGTTAGGGAGGGAAGTTAGAGTAGAAAAATCAAAGGAAGAAGTTAGGAGAGGAAATAGTTTTAAGATAATAGAAGGTAGGGGTGATAAAGGGAAAGAATTGTCCCTAGGAAGAGCTGATTTGACCCTGCTCTCACCTCTTACAGCCCACAGGGCCTTACTGTTGCAATGACTGAGGAATCAGAGGAGACAGTCCTATACATTGAGCACCGCTATGTCTGCTCTGAGTGCAACCAGCTTTATGGATCCCTGGAGGAGGTGCTTGTGCACCAGAACTCCCATGTACCCCAGCAACACTTTGAGCTGGTTGGTGTGGCTGACCCTGGAGTCACTGTGGCCACAGAAGCAGCTTCAGGCACAGGCCTCTATCAGACCTTAGTACAGGAGAGCCAGTATCAGTGCCTAGAGTGTGGGCAACTGCTGATGTCACCCAGCCAGCTCCTGGAGCACCAGGAGCTGCACCTGAAGATGATGGCACCACAGGAGGCAGTGCCAGCTGAGCCACCACCCAAGGTGCCCCCACTGAGTTCCAGCACCATACACTATGAGTGTATAGATTGCAAGGCTCTCTTTGCCAGCCAGGAACTCTGGCTGAGCCACCGGCAGACACATCTTCGGGCCACACCCACCAAGTCTCCTGCCCCAGTTGTCTTAGGGTCCCCAGTTGTCCTAGGGCCCCCTGTGGGCCAGGCACGAGTGGCTGTAGAACATTCCTACCGAAAAGCAGAAGAGGGAGGGGAAGGGGCTGCTGTCCCATCTGCAGCTGCCACCACCACCGAGGTAGTGACTGAGGTGGAACTACTACTCTACAAATGCTCTGAGTGCTCCCAGCTCTTCCAGCTTCCAGCTGACTTCCTGGAGCACCAGGCTACCCATTTTCCTGCTCCTGCCGCAGAGCCTGAGGAGCCTGCCCTACAGCAGGAGACTCTGACCCCATCACCTGCAGAGGTGCCTGTGTCTCAACCTGACCCTCTGCCAGCTTCTGACCACAGTTATGAGCTACGTAATGGAGAAGCAATTGGGCGCGATCGCCGGGGGCGAAGGGCCCGAAGGAACAACAGTGGAGAGCCAGGTGGGGCAGCCACCCAAGAGCTCTTTTGCTCAGCCTGTGATCAGCTCTTTCTCTCACCTCACCAACTACAGCAGCACCTGCGGAGTCACCGGGAAGGTGTCTTTAAGTGCCCCCTGTGCAGTCGTGTCTTCCCTAGCCCTTCTAGTCTGGACCAGCATCTTGGAGACCACAGCAGTGAGTCCCACTTCTTATGTGTAGACTGTGGCCTGGCATTTGGCACAGAGGCCCTCCTCCTAGCCCACCGGCGAGCTCATACCCCAAATCCTCTGCATTCGTGTCCTTGTGGGAAAACCTTTGTCAACCTCACCAAGTTCCTTTATCACAGGCGTACCCATGGAGCAGGGGGTGTCCCTCTGCCCACGACACCAGTCCCACCAGAGGAGCCTGTCATTGGTTTTCCTGAGCCAGCCCCAGCAGAGACTGGAGAGCCAGAGGCCCCAGAGCCACCTGTGTCTGAGGAGAGCTCAGCAGGGCCTGCTGCCCCAGGTACCTACCGCTGCCTCCTGTGCAGCCGTGAATTTGGTAAAGCTTTACAGCTGACTCGGCACCAGCGTTTTGTGCACCGGCTGGAGCGGCGCCATAAATGCAGTATTTGTGGCAAGATGTTCAAGAAGAAGTCTCATGTGCGTAACCATTTGCGCACACATACAGGAGAGCGGCCCTTCCCCTGTCCTGACTGCTCCAAGCCCTTCAATTCACCTGCCAATCTGGCGCGCCACCGACTTACACACACAGGGGAACGACCCTACCGTTGTGGGGACTGTGGCAAGGCTTTCACGCAAAGCTCCACACTGAGGCAGCACCGCCTGGTGCATGCCCAGCACTTCCCCTACCGCTGTCAGGAATGTGGGGTACGATTTCACCGCCCATACCGCCTGCTTATGCACCGCTACCACCACACAGGCGAGTACCCATACAAGTGTCGTGAGTGTCCCCGCTCCTTCTTGCTGCGCCGGCTATTAGAGGTGCACCAGCTTGTGGCCCATGCTGGGCGCCAGCCCCATCGCTGCCCCTCCTGTGGGGCTGCCTTCCCCTCCTCTTTGCGACTTCGAGAGCACCGCTGTGCAGCTGCTGCTGCTCAGGCCCCACGTCGCTTCGAGTGTGGGACCTGTGGCAAGAAAGTGGGCTCAGCTGCTCGGCTGCAGGCACATGAGGCGGCCCATGCAGCTGCTGGGCCTGGAGAGGTCCTGGCTAAGGAGCCCCCAGCTCCTCGGGCTCCAAGAGCCACTCGCACCCCAGTTGCTGCCTCCCCAGCAACCCTCGGAGGTACTGCCACCACAGCCTCCTCAGCCCCTGCCCGACGCCGGGGCTTAGAGTGCAGTGAGTGCAAGAAGCTGTTCAGCACAGAGACATCATTGCAAGTACACCGGCGTATCCACACAGGAGAGCGACCATACCCATGTCCAGACTGTGGCAAGGCCTTCCGTCAGAGTACCCACTTGAAAGACCATCGGCGCCTGCACACAGGTGAGAGGCCCTTTGCCTGTGAAGTGTGTGGCAAGGCCTTTGCCATCTCCATGCGCCTGGCAGAACATCGCCGCATCCATACAGGTGAACGACCCTACTCCTGTCCCGACTGTGGCAAGAGCTACCGCTCCTTCTCCAATCTCTGGAAGCATCGCAAGACCCACCAGCAGCAGCATCAGGCAGCTGTGCGGCAACAGCTGGCAGAGGCAGAAGCGGCTGTTGGACTAGCTGTGATGGAGTCTGCAGTAGAGGCACTGCCCCTGGTAGAGGCCATTGAGATATACCCTCTGGCTGAGGCCGAAGGGGTCCAGATCAGTGGCTGATTCTACCCTGTTTCCCTCTTTAGCACCACCATGCCTTGTTGCTAAAGGCCCTTTTCCAGCATCCCCTTAAACCTCTGTATATACTATGTCCCTTTTTCTTTCCCCTCTCTGCCACTGTGTAAGTTCTGAAACTGGATTTATTCTCTTTTCTTAAGGGGATGCTCTGGGGTCCTTGACATGCATAAAGATGCCCCCACAACCCTCCACCCGTTAGCATTGGTGACCCCGAAGTAAAAGAGTCAATAAAGACTGAGTTAAACATGTGTTTTTGTCAGGCCTAGCTGTGTAGAATGGAATTTGGGAGTCGGGGCCTAGTACTGGGTCTGACTATGCCTACATTCCCAGAACCCAGTACAGGGCTTAGTGGGTAGTAGGAGCTCCTCGTGAACATTTGCTGGATTAAAGGGTCTATAGGCATGGCACCCAGAGCAGGAACTTCTCTGGTGTTAAAGGGAGGCAACATGACTTTCTTGCCACTGGAGGTCCCCACAGCCCTGCAGAAAATGCTCAGAGCTTTTCTGCTAGTGGTTAGGAATGTTTAGAGAAATCCTTAGATTCTTACCAGCCTCTGTCCCTTCACTTCTTGCCTATGTCGCCCAAGGCCATCTGGTTTACTCATAGGGTCCCTAAGGGTAAACTCAGGTTGGGCATATTTCTGGGACAGTAAAGCAGAGTGGTTCCTGAGGTCAGACTCAGCTGTGGAATTGGATAAGATTGTGAATAATGTGTCACTGGGGTAGGAAGAAGCATAAGAGGAGGTAGCCCTCCTGGAGTTAGACTGTGGCTCAACCAATACATTTTGTCGGGGAAGAGGCATTGCTGGGGTGGCTTCCCAGTTTTAGAATGTCTAGTTATCTATGAATTGCATTATTTTGAATAACATTTACACTGGTCCTGTAAAGAGAACATTTTTGCAGGGAAGGTGTCTAAAGTCATAAGCATTGAGGTAACTTCCCCAAGGTCAGTTCAACCCAGACAGAGCAGAGCTTGAATTTAAGTCAGATTTCATTTAGCTTAATCACCCATATACTTTTCACTCTACTTCCTTTTACATAACTGGGGGAAGGTGGTAGAGACAAGAGAATGGAGCATGCTCAGTTGCTATGCCAGCCTTGCCTCTAAGATGCCACCTCCTGAGATGTCTCCAGATAGTTCTGTTGGAAAGAATTCTTAATTTGGAACCCCAATACAGAAGTAGAAAGAAACGCTATATTGAAATTCTGGGAATGGGAGGCCCAGGACCTCCCCAGTAAGCATCCCTGATATTTTACTCTCTTCAGACCTTTGGCTCTCTGGGCATTGAGGCCCTAGGATGTCATTTGAAGATCAGAGAGAGGTTTAATCTGTTGCTCAGCTGAGAGGAGAGCTCAGAGAGGGAACGGAGTTACCAAGGCCACACAGGCAGTTAGAGGTGAGAAGGGCTAGAAGTCAGGTCTTCTAATTCCACTGCTTTTCTAACACATTAGCTTTTTTACAAAATAGTTAATTTTTTAAAAATGTACTCATCATTTGATTTCCTAAAAGCACCTAATAAAGAGCAGTTCTGTTAAGTAGTTGTTTCCCACTATGGTGTGTTGATCATGGATATCATCTTCATATTGCATATCCTATAGGAAGGATTTGAACCATTGTAGACAATCATGCCAGATCCCCATAATTACCCATAATGTTTCCTGAACTGCACTCCTGAAGTGCTATAATATCCTGAAAGTAGTATCAAATAAGTGCTTAGAAAGATTCATCCTTGCAAAACCAGACAGCAGGCTGAATTAAGGGAAAAAAAGGGGGGGGGGGGGGCAGGGTACAATGCCAACAGTTTGGAGGATGAGGCAGGATCAAAAGTTCAAAGCCAGCCTCAGCAATTTAGTGAAGCCCTGTCTCAAAAACTAAGAAGGGCTGGGGATGAGGGTTAGCAGTCAAGTGCTAAGGGGTTTAATCCCTGGTAACTCTCCACCCCTCACCCCAAAAACAACAACAAAAAGGAATGGAGAAAAAAATAAAGAGTACTGGTTGACCACAGACCAAAAAAAAAAGCTTTAAACAGAGAACAACAACTATGATGATAGGGTGACTGTCCTTTATTATTATTTTCTGGAGCCTATAATAAAAGCTTACACATAAGAAAAGTTTACCCATGCAAACAAAGTTTGCCAACAAATTCCGGGAAAGTATTATTCCCCATCACCCTGCTGAAACTCAGATGCTGTTCAGTTGAACCTTTGTTTAAAAAAAGGCAGTGCTGACTACTTGTTGGATGTTGGTGTTCAAGTTGGACAGGCAAAGGTTCTCAAACTCCACAATGATTTGTTGGGCAATTCCTTCTGAGTTTTGGACCCAGCAAGCAAATCGAGGGTCAGACACCAAATCTATTGGTGAACACACCAATTCTGATGAGAGCGGCTTGGAGGCCCTTAACAAGAGACTTGCATTGACTATTTTGGAATGGAAGTCAAATAGTCAAAAGAACCGAACACTGCTCCTCTAGTACCCAGTGTTCTCTTTTCTTCCCCCACAGTACTAGGGTCTTATTTAACCCTGGGCCTCGCACATGCTAGACAAACATATCCTCAGTCTTTATTTTATTTTGAGAAAACGTCTCACTCTGTTGCCCAGGCTGGCCTTGAACCTGTAATACCTCTGTCTCCCAAGTAGCTAGGATTACAGATGTGCACCATCACACTTGGTACCCAATATGCTCTTAACAAGAGTAGGCCCAAATGTAACTAGAAGGTGGGGCATGTACATAAACTGGGCACATTCACTGGGCTACAGGTGGACACAGTTGAGGCTTCAGGACAAGTGGCAAACTCTGAAGGGTGCTCTGGTGTGCCGTCTGCTTGTCACAAGATGACCTGCATGTTTCTGACTGTACCACTCTGAATGGTGGAGCCTGCACCAAAAGATCCCCCTCAGCACACTATCCTGAAGTTCCTGTCCTGCTGATTTAAGAGTTGGAGAGGAGATTGCTTGACTTTTTTCTTTATCTTTTTTGCTGTGGTGGGAACAGAATCCAGGGCCTTGTGTACGCAAGGCAAGCACTCTGCTGCTGAGCTATATCCCTCGCTTTTCTTTTAATCTTGCTAAAATGATGCATCGCTAAAACTTCATTACTAAATTATTAAACCCCTCACCCAGTCTTTTCTCCTTTCCATTTCCTTCTTTCCCTACCCTTTGCTATTGGATTTGGAATCCCAGCACCTGTATGCCACACAGTCATCAGATGATAATTCAGTGACAAGAAAACCCCAGTGGCTTTCTCAGTATATTTTTGTGAGAAAGCGGAGTGTTAAGACCACTTCTGATTTTCAATGGTGAATTCTAGAGTCAGCCCAGGCTTGGCCTGTGAAGCTGTAGTTCCTGCCTATGACTTATTCAAGATAGGCGAAGAATTTGAATAAATTATATTTAATGTCCCTCCAAAAAGGAAGAAGGATAGTATGTACATTGTACCATCAAACAACATCAAAATCAACTAGTTTTAAAAGAGCTTTAAAGTCTTCTGGGGAAGCTTCCAGGGATGGAGGTGGGTAAGTACTTGCTGGTTCCTGGTTTTGTTATAGTTCTCATTTATTGACTGCTGTCAGATTTATTGACAGTGTTGTCTGTCCTAAGCGCTTTACTTATACCATCTCATTTAATTCTCTCAGCCCCATGAAATAGGTATTATCTGTTTTATAGACAAGAACACTGAAAGTTACATATTAAAGGTCACATCCATAAAATGGCAGAACTGAATTTTGAATTCAGCCTAAGTTCCAGGACTTAGTTTTCTGATTGGTAAACAATTTTGTTCGGGCCTTCTGAACATTCAGTATTTGTACAGAAGTAAAACTCTCCCTCCCCACATTACCATCCCTACCCCTATACCCTCATTTCTTCACCACCCTTCCCAGCACAGTCAGAAGACCAAGGGAGAGCAGGCATCATTTCTTTCTGTACAGTTTTTAATTTTTTATTTTTTGATGTTTGTTGTTCAGATGAATGACACACTCAAGTTACAAAAATGGGGCCTTAAAAGAAGCACATTGTACAATGAACAAGCAGATTGGAGTTAAGAACACTGAAACGCTAACCCGCTACCACGAGAAGAGACAGGGAAAGGGTATAGGATGGGAGAGGAGGGCTACCAACACAGGGGTCAGAGAACTGAAAAGGGGGTTCACTTGGGGGGATGGAGGAAAGGCAGGTGTACTCCAGAGTCTACTCAATTTTTGGATGCCACTCGGTCTCCTGTGACCACTACTTGCCACCCTTTCCAAGTCTCCCACCCAAATAGGTGAGACACCCACCCCAAAAAGGGCTGAGCCAATCAGATCTTTACAAAGTGGGGTGGTCACCCTCCCCTAGTGCAGTCCTGAATTGGGGTGTAATGGTGGCAGCAGTGGGATAAGAGGCCAGAGGGAAGTGAGAAGAGCTGCTCAAAGATTAGGACCTTGCTTTTCCCTAAAGACACCTTGCCCCTTCCTCACCCCACCATGATCCAGAGGCCTCTACAAGTTGTCAAGAGAGGCTCCCAGTTACCCTGCAATTACATAAATAAATACTGAGCCCCTGGTCTTGGAGGATAGGTTGGGGGAAAGGCAGCAGGGCTGGAGGAAAGGAAGGGAGGGGGAGGGGAGGGAGGCGGGGGAGGGGTCACAGACATAGTAAATTGTTGTCTCCATCCCAGCAACACTTCTCTCTGAATTTTTTGCTCCTTTTGTTGTTGTTGTTTGTTTGGCGAGGAGCTAGCATCTCAAGGACAAATACTTAAAAATATACATTATTTTTTATTTTTCTCTCCTTTCTTATCATCGTCTTGCTTTGGAGACTGTTGAGGTCAAAGTTTAAACCGCAAGAGGGAACTGCGGCTCGGAGTTTTTGTGTATTTTTTTTTTTTTTTTTTTTAGTTTTTATTTTAAATTTTTTTTCACTTTTTTTCCCAACGTATAAAAAGGTAGCGGAGTTGTCTGTGGGTTTTTTTTTTTTTTTAATGGTTAAATCTTTGGTTTGTTTCTTTATTCTCTTGGAGGCCTTTATCTCTCGCACTTGCCTTTCCCACTGAGACTGGTGGGGGCCCGCGTGTCTCAATCTTGCTCAGTCTGTCTCACTCTCACTCAATTCCCCCTACCCTGGGCTAGAGGAAGAGAGAGGCACCCTGGGGTTAGGGTGGGTGAGAGAAAATAGGTCAAGAGGTCACCCCCCACTAGTTCCTTCTGAATCTTCCCAGGGTGCCAGGCTTGGAGACCATTCTCTTGGCCTTCCCCAGGGAGGAGATGTGTAGAAAACTCACACCATCCCCCTCCTGATCTTAGCCCCAACTTCTACAGGGACCTGGGGCCCCCATCCCTACTACTCACCCCCCATACACACCCAGCCCCTTCCTCCCACTTCTAGTCTCCACTCTGCCCTCCAGAAGAGAACAGAGAGAGGTGGTTTAGTTACTGGCATCTTTTTTTTTTTTTTTTTTGGCACAATTAAAAAGCCCATCATTAAGTTGACCCAGTCTCTGTCCCTCCCTCAAGTAGGAGGTCAGGGATGGGAAGAAGGGAAATTCAGAGGGCTCCCCTTGCCCCAGTTCACTCACCTTTCCTCTCTAGCCCAGGCCCCTGGCCCTCTATCTGACCTCTAAGCTAGCTTAGAGCCTGGCCTGGGGTCTCCCTCCCCTATCCCCACATAAAGCTCCCCAGCTCTCCAACTCTCTCGCTCACACACAGACACACGGACACAGGCTCTGTACAGACCACAAAATAAAAACGATGAGATAGTTTTGTTTCCCGGAGTCGAGGCGGGGTGGGGTGGGGGCCAGAGTGGAAGGGGCAGGTGGGGGTGGGGGGCAGGAATTCCCCCATCACCTTCCCAGCCCTAGCTCCCTCCAGCTCCAGTCCCTTGCCCTGGCTGGCCCCCAGCCAACGATATTTGGTTTCTTTTTTTTTTTTTTAACATTAAAGTTCTATGAGGTATTTGGTGCCTTATCTCGAGTCCTCGGAGGAGGGGGGCCCAGGCGGGAGACCTGGGGCTCACCTGCCCCTCCCTCCCTCCCTCCCGCCCCTTCCCAATATTTGGTTTCACAGCTGTAGTTAAAGCTTGGAATTTGGTTATTCCCCACCCCCCAGGAATTTTCTTTTTTCTTGTTTTTCTTTTCCAAGTTGTGGGGGTTGGATGGGGAGGGTCCCCTCTACCCCCAGCTGCATGGGGGTCCCTCCACCAAGTCAGGGCATCTGCCCCATCCCTGCCCTGCTTCCTCCTCTCTCATTGCCCCACTCCCCACACGCTGGGATGGGGAGAGGTCCCAGGTAGGGGACTTGATGGGGAGGAAGCAGGATGAAGTGGGTGGTGGTGAGTCCTGGATTTTCTTTCCTTTTTTTTTTTTTTTTCTTTTTCTTTTTTTCCTTTTTTTGGTCTAGAATCATAGCTTTCGTTTGAGTCATCTCCACCATGCCTTCCATGCTGCCTGTCTTCTCGGAGGGGGTTTTTGGTCATCATTCCTTTCATTCTGCTCTGCTCAAACATCCTTCCTATCCGTTCAGGAGCCCTTGGCCCCTCTCCACCCCTGGGCTGGGGCTTAGGTCCTTTCACCAGGCCCTTTTCAGGACATCAAATGGACAAACTCAGAGGTAGGGTGAGGGCAGAGAGCTGATTCATCGGAGATGCTTACATTCTAGCAAGGATGGGCTGACGAGGTGCCAGGCCCCATTAGTGCCAGGGGTGGGAGAGGCGCTGCTCCACCACTGCCCAGACAAGGCACCGAGGCCCTTGTGATGGCTGTCTCTGCTGCCTCTGTGGCCCAGCCCAACAGTTTTGTTTCCCGGTTGGGAGAAGGGAGACCAGAAGAAAAGAGAACGCTGAGGCTGGGGCTCCATCTGCCTCTCTTTGGAGTGTCCAGCAGAAAGCATGGAGGCCACCCGGCCATCTCCAGGCTCCCCTCCCTCTGCTCCTGCCCAGCCAGGGGCGGGGACCACTCTGATTTCAATGGCTCCAGTCCTTCACAGCAACACTTTGGTTTGAGGAGAGACACAGAAAGAATGAGATTGAGAGAAGTGAGAAAAGAACAAAGGGAAAGGAGAAGAGAGAGGAGAGGGCAGGGAGGGAGGGAGGGCAAGAAAGAGGAAGGAGACAGGAGAGAACAGAAAAAGAAATCAAAGGAGGAATCAAACCACCCGAAAACTGTTGGTTTTCCTTCGTCCATTCTTTTTGCTTTCTTCTTTTTTTTTCCTGTCTTTTTTTTTAAAGCTTTTTCAGTTGATTGGGGGGGCGAGGAGTTTGGGGCTCTTCACCCCTGTCCCTGACACCCTCTCTCAGCCCTGCCCACCCACTTCCATCCACCCTGGCTGAGGGACAGGCCCTGCCCCAGCCGTCCCCCTCCGGCTTTCCCGAAGACGACGTCCATGAGGTATTTGTGAAGAGAAAGAAGCATCCGTCCTTCCATCCGCCTTGGGGACCAAGGGCCTGGACCATTGGTGCAGGGGCTTGGCTCCACCTCGAGCTTCCTTCTTATTCTTGAAGAGTCCTTGTCTTCTTTCCCTTATATATTTATTTATATATATATATATCTATAAATTCTTTTTTTCTAGTTTTAATTTATTGTTTGTTTGGTTTTTGTTTGTTTGTTTGTTTGTTTTTTTGGTTCAAAACTTTGTTGGCCTCCACAACAGCAGGAGGGCAAGGTGGCTCCCAGTAGCGTCTCTCCTCTGTCCATCATCAAGATGCGTCTAGGGCTGGGCAAACCCAGGGTCCAGCCAAGACTTGTGGAGGTCTCATGGGAGTGGTGACCACCACAACGCCCTCTTGGATGGGGACCATAGGTCATGGCACTGTCCCCGCCACATGGACCCTGATGGGGATGCCATCTGGAGGAACCCACCACTGGGGTGCGTGCGTGTGTGCGTCGGGACAGGGGAGGGTAGGCATCTGCCAGTGTCAGAGGGGCACAGGGTGGGCGGAATGAGGTGAGTTATCTTTTTGGTTTCTGGTTAATGTCAGAACGTGAAGGATCCCACGGATAGGCACTGGAATATGAATATTTTTTTTCAGGGAAACTGACAGGATGGAAAAAAAGACAACTTGAATGCCCTCACCTCATCACCTATTGCCTGAAACATTCACCTTCCCACAGGCTGGAGAGGGGTAGATTCCAGAGCACAAGAGGGTGACAGGGTTGAGGAGGGACTTATGAGAGCTGGAACTTGGCAAAATGGCCTAGCCCACCCTTCAAAGGGAAAAGGGGGAGGTACAGGTGAAAAATCATCCCCGGGCCTTCTCCCGAACTCACCCCTGGCTGGGGGAGGGAAGAGGGCTAAAGAAAGACCCCCTGCCCAGGTGGGGAGAGCTGGGGGCCAGGGGAGAGGGGGACATATGGTAGGGACACATTCTGTTGAGCACAACGCTAAAAAGTCTGTACATCCTTTGGATGAAGCTACTGAATATTTGGTGTAAGGTTGTTCAGGCCCTTTCTTTCACCTTCTGGAAAAGAACATTTGATGGGTGGTTCTGGGTCAGGGCCCTCTGCCCCAGGCTGTGCCCTGTCTCCGCTGGCCCAGAGTTGGGGCAGGGGTCAGCAGGCTGGCACATTCTCTTTTTCCTTCTTTAGCCCCCACTTGGGGGGCAAGGTTGGAGGTTGCCCACAGCCAGGGCTCGGCAGCATGAGGTCCGACCTGCAGGAGGCTGCTCTGCTCCTGGCTGGGGTTCTTATTTGGTGTCGTAGCAGTGAGGGTGAGCACTCTGAGGTCTGGCTCGAGACTGGTTTTTGGTTTGATTTTTGTGGGGTTTTTGTTTGTTTTTGGTTTTTTTATTTGTTTTTCACCTCTGGTTCCTTTGGGGCAGCTGGTTTCTGTTGTGATTATTTTTGGTTTTCTTTTTTGTTGGTTAGTTTCTTCTTTTTTTGGTTGATTGGGTTTTTGGTCTTTCCTCCCTTGTCACTCCTGCTCCAAGGACCCGCTGTACCCCCACCACTGGCCTCCTCGCCCTCTTCCCAGGCGGGGGACCAAGGTGGAGGGTCAGAGGAGTGGGAGGGGAAGCATGATGGGCCCTCACTCAGGCTTGGACCCTGCCTCGGGCCCCCCTGGGCCTCCAGGGGTCTGTGCTGCCGCCTCACTACAAGTGGAGGAGGAGGAGGACGAGGATGAAGAGGATGAGGAGGAGAGGCCAGGAGACTTGCTGGAGATGGAGGCTGCCACTGCCGCAGCCGCTGCTGAGACCAGGCCCACGCCAGGCGGGGCGCTGAGCAGGGGCAGCCCGGCGTGGTTCAAGAAGAGTGGCGAAGTTACCAGGCCAGGGCTCCCTGGGGCCGCGCCAGCCGCCCCCAGCACCAGGTTCCCGCTGCCATCAAGGCTGGTAAGGGGCAGGGTTCCACCAGAGGCCAGGGCTGGTGGGGAGAGAGAGAGGCTGGGCTGGAGGCACACCAGGCCAGGGGAGACCTTTGCCTCCCAGTGTCCTACCCCAGTGACCCCATCAGTGCAACCTGTCTGTCTCCCCATTTGTCCCACTGCCCCCATCAGCAACCCTCACACCTTCCCCAAAGGCAAGATGGGGATGAAGAGGCGAGCGATGCAGTGAGCAGGGGCAGGATGGCATGGCTGGAGCAAAATGCAGGGGGAGGGGGCTCAAGGCCCTGAGGGACAGGACTAGAGGATGGGACTGGTGACAATGGGAGTGACATGAGGCAGCACGCACCTTGGATAGTGGCCAAAGGGTTGTTGCTCATGAGGGCTGGACTTAGCCCGGAGCTCAACCCCACCATTGTGCTTCTGCAAGAGCAAAGCAGAGGCGTTAGCAGGGGCAGGGAGCTGCGGGAACTGGGGAGCAGCTCCCCACCCTGAAAGCAGCAGCGACCCAGCTTCTCCCCACAGCCTCCCCACCTGCACCTGCACACTTACCCCGTGCTGGGGGTCAGGCCTGACAAGCCGATAGCCGAGTGGCTGCCTTGAGGACTGGGGTTTGTGCTGTTGGTGGTGGCCGGGGGTGGGGGAGTGACAGAAGGGATGGAATTGAGGGGGGGCGCAGGCCCGCCCCCGCCTCCACCCCCTCCAGCTGTCCGACTGGGGTGGAGCGTCCCCACAGCTGAGGATAAGGTAGTAACTGCCAGAGAGAGACAGAGAGATGGGGTCTTCAGCTTCCACTAAGTCCCCCATCAAGGAAGCCGGGATCAACCCCAGCTTGTCATTTCCTCCAGCTCACTCAGCATCTCCTCAGCAGAACAGACTAGACATCCCTGTTCCCTCTTCCCTGAGCCCAGAGTCATCTCCTTGTGCCTCTGCAATGGGAAAGTGGTTCCCAATAACCTCAGTAAGAGCAGCGGCCTCCTCCTGAACCTGTGCCAGACAGATGCTGGCTCTGCAAACCACACCTGAACCATTTTGACACTGACAAGAAATGGGGCGCCCAGGAGACAAAACCCCATTTAGGGACTCCTTCTAGAGGCCACAAAGAGGGCATGAGTATGGGCATGCAGGGCAGGGAGGGACTGAGGGCCAGAATGCTCTGTCTGGGATTAAGTTTCCTGGCTCTGTCATGTCACAGCTGTGCCCTGAGATGAGCGCCTTCACCTCTCCAACGTTCCGTTCCTTCTTCTGGAAAATGGGGATATAATAGAACCTAACTCATAAAATGGGTGTGACAAATCAGTCTATAAGCTTTATAAGGGGCTTAGAATGGTGCCAGGCTCCCACTAACTATTTATAAACCTCTGCTTATTATTTCTTAAACTGAGGAAACTAAGGGGGGCAATATAGTGTTTGTTTATATTATTATTATTATTATTATTACTACTACTACTATTACTACTACTACTACAGTTCTGAGGATTGAACTGAGGGCTTCTGTCATGCTAGGCAAGCACTCTACCACTGAGCCACTCCAGTTCCTGCACTCTGGTCTGTGTATATTTATATGCATATCTTAGCCCAGTGGCTGCCTTTCATAATATACATTACAAAAATTGAGGCTCAGAGAGGTAAAGTAACTTCTTGACTTCACATAGCTTATAAATGACAGAGGCCAGGGACAAAAGCTATGTGTGTCACTTTTTAGCCATCTCATGCTTTTCTCACAGGAAATCCTGGAGCAGATTAGAGCCCTGATGCTCTGGTGGAGGAGGAGGAGGGTCTGCCTTCTACCCTCTGTCCTTCCTACTCCCCCTGACCCCCAACCTCCAGACTCAGCCTGAGGCCCATGGCCACACAGCCACTGGAGAACCTCAGGCTACAGCCTGTGCAGCATCCTCCCACTCCCCTCCCAGCCTTCTGCCCTCCCTGACCTGTTGTGCTCAGACTGCTGGAAGCTTGGGACAATGGTAAAGTCCCTGCGCCCCCTTGGGGTGTGACCTGGGGAGAGAGAAAAAGAGGTATGTTTAGGCCATTGTCTCCCAGAAACCCCCATGATGCTCCCTGTGCATATGACCCCCACTGTCCTCCCCAAGGGATGGGGGGAGAAGGGACTTTGTATACAATGCTACATTTGTATTATGTCACTTGCTTTCCATTACATCTTTCCTCACATTTACCCTAGGTGAGTCTGAGTCACAAGCAGGAAGGAATAATTCTCAACTGAGAGGTCTCCCTGCCTCCCACCTGACACTCTCTAGTCCGGCTCACGGGCTCACGTCCTCCAATGACATGTCCTTCCTATAGTGACTGAACTGAGGAGCAACTGTTCTTTGTGCTCCTGCTGACATTGGTTCTCCCAGAATGAAGATACTTGCCTTTTTTAAAATTTTTTATGGTACTGGGGACCGAATCCAGGGTTACTTTACCCTTTTACCTCCCCAGCCCTTTTAACTTTTTATTTTGAGGGAGGATCTCTCTAAGTTACTGAGGCTGGCTTTGAACTTGTGATCCTTCTGCCTCAGCCTCCCAAGTTGCTTAGATTACCAGCATGTGCTACTGCACCCAGCCACACCTGCCCTCAAAGATAAAATCTTTGTGTCAGTGTTGGGATGTCATATTACTTGATTTCCTGGGATCATCCCTACCTCCAATCTCACCTTTCTATCAGCCCCAGAAGCCTTGCTGAGTTTGACCCTGTCCCTCCCCATCTTAATACTCCTTCTTAGCTCCTTACTACTCAGGATCAAATTCAAGTTCCTCGTCATGAACTTGGGGCTCCTGCCTCCGGCCATCCCCACTCGACATTGCAGCTCCACTCAAAACTGCCCAGGAGTTCCTGCAAATAAGCCTGGCACTCCAGCATCTAGGCCTGTGTACACACCACTCCCTTCACCTGCGAGGCCCTTCTCCTCACATGGCCGGCTTTGGCTTATCCTTTATGATTCAGCTCAAAGGGTCCCTCTTCCTTCCACACCCCTGGGGCAGGGGGCTCCTCTCTGGAGTAGCACTTCTCTGGAGCCCTTTCCACAAATGGAAATAAAGGAATGGGAAAAAGATGTCCCAGTTGTGTATGATACTGAGTGGGCCTGTGCACAAGCTGTGGTCCTGAGGGATCCCCCATGGGTATAATGATGTCCCCGCCAGGTAAAAACAAAAACAAAAACAACAACAACAACAACAAAAAAAAAAACCACCTCTCCCTGTCTCTGTAAGGATGTGAGCCTGGTCCATTCCCTGGTCATATATATCCATCCCCATGTTGCTATGTCCCTGTGAGAACTCTGTGTCAGTGTACATCTGTGCTTGGAAACCCTGTGTTCCCGGTATGACTGTACTTTCTATGTGACTGTCCCCAGGGGCCTCTGTTCTAGGCCCTGTGGACAACCAGGTAGGTTTGTTTCACACAGGTGCCTACCGGGCTTGTGGCTCCCCTGCCCCCCACAGGGCCCTCACGGTACCAGATGGGGGCTGTAGCTGGCTGGTTTCCCTGGGCTGGGCAGCATGGGCGCCGCGCTGCAGGGGTTGATGCGTTTCTCCTTCTGGCGTCGGTTGCAGAACCAGACGCGGATTACTTCCTTCTCCATGTGCAGCTGCTCGGCGATCAGCAGGATCTCCTCTGAGGTAGGCTTCTGGTTCTGTGGGCAGAGGGCTCGCTAGCACTGGCCTTCCCTCCTGCCACCCTCTGGGCCGCCAAGGAGGATGGGGCCTCACCGCTAGAAAACTCTTCTCTAAGGCGAAGCGGACATTTGTCTCGATGCTGGTCCTCTTCTTGCGTCTCCGGCCGGGCAGCCCGTCAAAACCCATGCTGGGGCTGCTCAGCTGGTTAGGGCTGGGCAGGCTTGAGTCGACAGACATAGTCTCTGTGCCAGGAGGAGACATGGGCTTGAGAGGGCCCTCCCACTGCCACAGCCCGCATCAGGTCCCCAACCCTAGAGCTCCAGCCCAATCTCACCTGCGTCATTGAGCCACTTCTCCAGGAGAGGCTTGAGTTTGCACATGTTCTTAAAGCTCAGGTTGAGGGCCTCAAAGCGGGAAATGGTCGTCTGGCTGAAGTCGTTGCCGTAGAGCTTGCCCATGGCCAGGCCCACATCACCCTGAGCCATGGGGTGAATACGGGGCGGAGGTCAGGCAGAGGTCTTCCGGTACTAGGGTGCCCGTCAATTAGCGGTCTACTCCCCACACCCCCATCAACTGACCACACCCCCACGCCACACACCTCCCACCCTGCAGGGTGTCCCCAGACCTGTGTGAAGCCCAGCTTGATGCGTCGTTGCTTGAAGGTGCGGGCGAACTGCTCCAGCTCTTCCAGATCACTGGGTTCCTCGGGGTGGGATGGTGGCTCCAAGCATTTGGGGGGCTGCGGGTGTGAGAGGTGCGGGTCGGGCAGCGTGGGGCGGGTCACGGCCTGGTGGAGCGGGCAGGTGGGGTGGGAAGCAGGACGGAGGGCGAGGATGGTGCTCAGTCCCTCCCTGCAGTCCAGACTGTTCCTGCGGGCTCCCCACCACCTGCCCCGGGAAGCACCTCAACATTCACTGTCAATCCCGTTAAAGGTTCGACTCTGCTGCCCCTCATGGGTCCTGTCATTGCCTGGAACTCTCTGCACTGCCCCTTAGAATCTGCGATCACCCAGAAGGAGCAGCCAGCTTCTTTTGCCAAGTGCTTGTTCCCTGGAATGAGGAGGAGGGGAGTGGTACTTCCCTCCTCCTCTCCACCAAGGAATCAAAGACTGGCTCTGGCTGTGCCACTGAATTGCTGGACAGCTCAGGCTAAGGCTCGTAACTTCCCTGGGCCCCCCTTTCTCCCTCTGCAAGGGGGAAAAACCATCATTGCTGCTCACTGGGGTTTTGGAAGAATCAGGTTAAAAATAAGTGGGTTTCCAGACCCACAGAATGTGCAACACCAAGAGTGAACCCTGATGTTCAAGCTATGGACTTTGGTAATAACAATGTGTCCATGTAGGTTCACTGACTGTAACACATGCACCACTTTGATTGAGGATGTTGATAAAGGGGAAGGCTTGCATGTGAAGGATAGCAGGTATATGGGATCTACCTTCCCTGTTCAGTTTTGCTGTGAGTCTAAAACTGCTCTAAAAATTTTAAGTCATAAAAAAATTGTAGATAGGCTGGGTGCAGTGGTGCACACCTGTAATTCCTGCAGCTTGTGAGGCTGAGGCAGGAGGATTCAGAGTTCAAAGCCAGTCTCAGAAAAACTAAGGTGCTAAGCAACTTAGTGAGACCCTGTCTCTAAATAAAACCCAAAATAGGTCTGGGGATGTGGCTCAGTGTTTGAGTGTCCCTGAGTCCAGTCCATGGTACCCCCCCCCAAAAAAAATTGTAGATTGCAAATAAAATATAAAAACAAAGACAGGGAGTACAATGAGAGAGATGGGCAAAGAAGCAAGAGTTCTACCTGGAATGCTTCATTGTTCTAAAAATAAAAAGTCTAAAGCAGGTGGTAGGAATAGGGATGTCTGTCATCCCTGATGATCCCAAACCCTGAGACCAGCTGTGGTTTGGAAATCCTAAGTTTTTCAGAGTTTGGGAAGTCTATATCTAGGGCATGTATTATAGATAAGGTGACACCTCCCAATCAGGCTAAAGGCATTACCTTGTAATCAGACACATTAGCAATTCTGCAGCAGCAGGGATATTATACCAAGAGACATAGGAAGTCTCTGTGCCATATCAGGCAGGGCAGCTTTTGCAGCCAAATTAGTTCTGTTGCCAATGTTGCAAGAACACCTTGACTTTCAGAGCATTTGAATTTCAGTGCTGTAGCCAAGACCTGTATTGGTCTTTAAACTTTTCAGTCTTTCTGAACTAGTTCATACGTGTGTGTGTGTGTGTGTGTGTGTGTGTGTGTGTGTTTGGGGGCACTGGGAATTGAACCCAGAGGTTTGAGCAGGCTAAGCATACACTCTTTAACTGAGCTACACCCCCAACCTCTGTATATTTTCTGAAAGGGTTGTTCAAGAAAAAAAAAAAAAGGAAAAAAAACTGAACTAAGTAAAAGGTTGTGAAAGAGTCTCACTAAACTCTAGAACCCAGGCAGCAAACTGAAGGAAAGGGGTCCAGGCAAGAGGACCCTGAGATGCCCTGGAGAGCTGATACCCTTTCTAAGGGGCGGGGGGCAACTCACTCACTGCCTCCAGGTAATCACATGAATATACATCAGTTTTGCAAGATATTCTGATTTGTGAAGAGAAGCTGGGAATTGGAGCTTTCTGGGAATTAAGCTAATGATGGTCAAATAAAACATCTGTGGGCCCCTCTCCTAGGACAGACTCTAAGTCTGGGAAATGAACATGAGTTAGCGCCTAACAGATGCCTTGCTCACAAGAACCCTCCAGTTTCATGCTGGAAGAAACCAAGGCATTTCTAACAGAAAGCCTTGCAACCTCCTGAAAGTTTGTGTTTGTTAAGATGTACGTTTTGAGGGCATGGGGATCATCAGATCTAAATCTTTCTAAAGATTCTCAAAGGAGTCTGTGTGCCTGAAAAGGTTAAGGAGCACTAGTCTAGTTTGACTCCCTTCGTTCTCTAGAGGAAGGCTCTGATCCAGACAGGAAGCATGCTTTGGGGTCACACAGAAAACCTGCGGCAGATTCCCCAGCTTCTGTCTTGGTTCCTGTGGCTTGGGGTGGGCAATGAAAATGAGACCCCCACACACACACCACCCCTGTTCACCAGCCGAGGGCCGTGCTACTAGCCTGGCCTGGGCACACTCAGAGGACCCTCTCACCTGTGTGGGAAGCCCGGCCCGGGGTTGGGAGGTCAGAAGAGCTCCCTGGGTTTGCTGAGGTAGCTGGAATAGATTTGGCGTCGGTAGCAGGCCTGGAGAGAAATGGGGGATACACAGGGTGAGGGGGGGATGGGGGAGGTAAGGGAGTACTGTTGAGGCATCAGGGAAGTGGATTTTTGTTTGTTTGTTTGCTTGTTTTGTGAGGGAGCAGGGACAGGAGGGGAGACTTACCTGGCTGACTCTGCTGGGTCTGCGGCAGCAGGAACTGAGCAGGTGGCTGGAGGTGGTGGCCTGGCACAAGCACCAGCTGCTGGAGCTGGAGGAGCTGCTGTATGTCCTGGCAGAAAGGTGATGGACAGAAAGACCATCAGCCTGAGTCCTGGCCAGATTCCTCCCTCTCTGTATCACCTGAGTCCCCAAGGGACTAAAACAGGAACAGTGCAATCTGGCACTGGGCAGCAAGGGAGTCCATCAGTCTCTGAACAGCACCCTGAGCTGGGGGCACCCAGAGGCTTCTTTTGCCATGGGGTACCAGAGAGTCCCATATGAGCAGTCTTAGGAGAGCTCGCTCTTTATTTATTTATTTTCCTTCCTAATGAAATCTTTGCCTTGCCATACATTCCTGCAGAACAAATAGGTTTGTTTAAAAATGTAAACCAAATGGGCTGGGGCTGTGGCTCAGTGGTAGAGCACTCACCTAGCACATATGAGGCCCTGGGTTCGATCCTCAGCACCACATAAAAAATAGATAAATAAAACGAAGGCATTGTATCCAACTACAACTAAAAAAATAAATATTCTTTAAAAATGTAAATCAAATTAAATCTTTCTTCTTTTTAAAACACTCCTAAGACAAATGATAAGATACCCCAAATTGGTTTTAAAATACTTCAGCAAATAGAGGCTTTGTAAATTGGCAAAACCACTTTGGGCAACTCTTTTGCACTGTTATGAATTGATAAAAAGATATACTGGAATCTTAATCTCCAGAACCTCAGAGCATAAACTTATTGGAAACAGGGTCTTTGCAGATGATCAAGTTAAAACAAAGTCATTAGAGTGGACTCTAGTCCATTATGATTGATGTCCTGATAAAAGGGCAAATTTGGAAACAGAGGAAAGATGATGTGAAGAAACACAGGGGAAAGATGACCTTCTACAAGCCAAGGACAGACTTCCAGAACAGATGTTTTCTTCACAGCCCTCAGAGGGATCAACATGCCAACACTTTGGTTTTAGACTTCTAGCCCCCCAAACTGGGAGAAAGTAGTTTCTCTTGGCTAAGTCACACAATTTGTGGTTGTTAGAGCAGCCCTAGTAAATTAATCCAGTATCTACTGAAACTGAACCTAACCTGCCTTATGATCCAGCAATTCCTTCCCTGGGTATGAAGCACCATAAATGTGTATGAATGTTCTCCACAAGATGGGCTAGAATGTCCATATAGGCCATTGGAAATAGCCAGAACCAGAAGACAGCCCCAGTGCCTCACAGCAGGGTGGGTAAATAATTCAATGGATGCTACAGCAATGAAGATGAGTGTCCAGAGTCTACCTGACATCACACACAATAGCACCAACTTCCCGAGCCTCGTAAGTGAAAGAAGCTAGTTGCAGGAAAGAACACCTGTTGATTCGCCTTGTTTCATTTCCTCTCAGGAGCTTGGGAAGCTTCTGCATGCCAGTTCATGGGCACGCCCACTTTGTAGGTATCCATTGAGCTGTATGTCTATGTACACCTTTCTGTATGTGTTATACCTCAGTGAAGTTTTTCTTTTAAGGGTGTGAGGCAGGGGAAGAAGCAGAGGAATAAAATCCAGCCCACCCCACCACCAAAAAAGTGAGGTGTATGGATGAAATCCTACATGCCAGTAGGACTGACAAAATGTTGGTGTCTGTTAAGCAGGGCGGTGGGCATACGAGTTCGCTGCATCAGTCTCTCTACTTCTATGCTTGGACATTTCCAAAAGGAAAAGCAACACCCCCATACACACTGCAATCAAAACGCTTCACCTGGGTATAAGGCCTTTATATAGGCCTGTGCAGTTCTCCCTGACCTCAACCCCTCCTTCTGTCCTCTCCAGCCACTCAGTCCTCTTCTGAGCGAATTTTTTTTCCTGTCTCAGGACCATTGCACATGCTGTTCCCTCTATGGGCATGTTCTAGTTCTTATACAAACTCTCCTCAGAGATGCCCACTTTGACTATGTAATATAAACAAGCCCACAACCCTACCTCCCTTTCTCAATCCCCATTTCACCTCCTTCACAAGCCTCATCAGACTTCAGGGGTGGCTCTTTCTGTTTCCTCATTCATAGTGTGCCGCCCTCACTAGGAGGTCAGTTGCATGAGAGCATGATCTTGACTCTTTCCATCACAACACTGTATCCTTAGCACTAGAATAGCACCTAGCACCCAGTAGGTGTTCCACATATTTATGTTATGGACAAAAACTCATACTTCATCATTTACTTTCCAAATTTTATGTATATATAGCTAAAAGCTATAACATTATTTATGATATTTTTCTCTTCTGGGAAATTTGGGGTGTTGGCATATGCCCCTCAATTCCTTTCAATGCTAAAGACCAATTTAATGTCCCAGGAAATGAACATTTGAGAAAAATATAAGCAACTCGACAGAAAAGGTTGATTTCTCTAATAAAGAGCAATTAGAAATCCATAAGAAAAATACTAATGATCCAGTACTCTAGAGAGCGCCTACCAAAGGAAGTACAGTGAATTCACATCACAAGTAAACACATAGAACTACACTGAGGTGCTCTTTTTATTTCTCAGATCAGCAAAGATGAAAACAGTGCACAAGACACCACAGTGGAAATGTGGGAAAACACTCTTCCCGTGACTGGTGGGGGGGGAACTTGGCAATGTCTATAAAAATTGCAAATTACATATCCTCTGACACTGCTGTTCCACTGCTAGGACTTTGTCTTAAAGACACATTCACGCTTGTGCAAAATGACCTCCATAGAAGGATATTCCCAGCAGCATGCAGTGTTCTAGCAAGAGTAGGAATCAGTTGGTCATGAAGCAATAGAGGATGGGTGGGTGAATTAGGGTGGAGCTTCACAGTGGACACTATGCAGTCATCAAAAGAAGACTCTTTGTGTCTTGATATAGAAGTCTCCAGAATGTCCTGTCAAGTGGAAATCTCAAGAGGCAAAACAATGGATATGATGTGCAATTATTTGTGTAAAAAGTGTAAATATAGGTATTGATTTGGGTATGCATAGATAATATTTGGAAAACTATACCAGAAACAGGTCATGCTGTAAATCCTTCTGCATTTCTTAGATTTGGAACATTTATCTTGTCCAAACAAATATTCAGGTGTCCTGCCCCCGCCCACCCAAATAGTGGCGACCAACATCTATGCTTTTCCAATCATTCATCTTACAACAATTCAAGGCTGTTCCCTATCTCCCTGAAAAGAGAAGCCTCTGCTTTCTCCATTTCCGGCAGAGGAGGAGATATGCTGATGCTTCCTCCCTCTAGCTGCCAGTCCCCTCAGTGTCCAGTGTAAGGGTTTTGAAGTCTTCCACTATATCCTGTGAGACCAAGTCCACTCTGCCTTCCTTCTCCTAACTACTGCAGACCAATAACATGCCCATGGCCATCTCCCTTCAGATGTAGATCAACTTCAAAGCAAAAAAATTAAGCTTTACAGCCCTCCATTTACAATAGACCCTTCCAAAGCCCTTGACCTAATATTTCATAATATTGTCTTCTTTTTATTTCAAAGCCCTCCAAACTGTGTACTCTTCAGGCCTCAGAAAAGGAGACCCACCCTGCTCTGTGCTGCCCTCTCACAAGACAACAAGTTTGTTGATGTACTTTCTTCCTCTGCTCGACTGAAACTCTAGCAGGAAGAGGCATGTCTTATTTAACTTCTTGTATTCATAACCTTTAAAAGAGCCTCAGAAACCCTCATTATATGCCCACTGGATTGAATCCAATGGAAAAAAACTAGAAAGTTTTATATGATTTTTTCCCTGATTTGCTATGACTCTTAGTATGTTGATTAAAATATTTGGTAACTTGTACCTCTCCCTAGCATGATTCTCAATGAAAACTCCCCTTTCCTGCCAGAAGCCTAAAAGAGGTGTCTGATTTGCATCCTGAATCAGCAGGAGAGAGGATGGGGAAAGTGAATCCTGGGTTGTAGAGGATCTCATGGTGAGATATATAGATTTAAAAAATTATCCACCCCATCCAGTTAACCAGACCAAGACTTAGGGGTCATCTGTGGTTCCTACTTTCCCTTTCTCTCTGCTATCCATCCAATCCAGCTCACTTTCTACCAGCTCCCTCTACTTCTTTTTCTCCCCACTGTCACCATCCTGGATGAAGCCACCATACCATTTGCCCCTGACCATCCATTCTTCCAAAGCAGCCAGAGAGGGATCTAACGAAATGTAATTCTGTGCATTCATATGTCCTCATTTTTTTTTTTAACAGTACTGGGGATTGAACCATCGAGTGCTTTGAGTGTTTTACCATTAAGCTACATCCCCAGCCCTTTTTATTTTACTTTATTTGAGATACTGGGGATTAAACTCAGGGGCACTCAACCACTGAACCACATTTCCAGCCCTATTTTGTATTTTATTTAGAGACAGGGTCTCACTGAGTTGCTTAGCACCTCGCTTTTGCTGAGGCTGGCTTTGAACTTTCGATCTTCCTGCCTCAGCCTCCTGAGCCACTGGGATTACAGATGTGTGCCACTGCATCTGGCTCCTTTTTATTTTTTGAGACAGGGTTTTGTTAACTTACTGAAGGTCTCAATAAATGGCTAAGGCTAGCCTTGAACTTGTGATCTTCTTGCTTCAGCCTCCTGAGTCACTGAGATTACAGGATGTGCCACAATGCCTGGCTTATGCCATGAATTCTTTGACATCTGAAACAAGCTATCACTCCATTCTCAGAATTAAAAACACACAAAATAAAACATGGGATTCCAATTAAATCAATCATATTGAAATGCAGTTAAGTATATTTTAAATTGTAATAAGTAATCTGTAGGTTTCTTTACAAGCACATCAAATAAGAGGATCCAGCAATAGGTCTGATAACTTCTATAATTTCAAAGCAATGATGTGAAAAATATACATATATATATATACACACACACAATACATAAATATACTTTTTTCTGTATGTGTATACTGGGAATTGCACCCAGGGTGCTCTACCACTGAGCTTCATCCCAGCCCTTTTTATTTTTTATTTTGAGACATGATCTTGCTAAGTTGCCAAGGCCAGCCTTTAACTTGTGATCCTCCTGTCATTGCCTCCCAAGTATGTGAGATTACAGGTGTG